TTGTCATCTTGTTTAACTAGTTGCCTTTTTGCAGGGTACATTTTCAGAATTATTATATTAGAGGGAATTGTAGATTAGGCTGTACACTCACCCTCATGAGGTATGCCTCCTAGTTTAAATATTGTTGCTGTTGTTGTTGTTGTTGAGCTTGTTGCTATAGTTGAACTTGAGGTTGTACCTAAGTTTGCTGCATTAGATAGTAAGGTTGGGCTTGCTATTGTTGTTGATTAATAGGTGGTGCTTGTGCCTGAGGTTGAATTATAGGTTGAGGTTGAAATTGTTGTACAGGATTATTAGGTACAAGTTAGGTAAGAAGTTGCAAGAGTTGATTGACTTGTGGAGCTTGTTCAGGTTGAGCAGGTTGCTGATTATTTAGTACAGGGTTTTTAGGATTCACAGAGTTTACAGGGTTAGCAATAGGAGGTACAATATTTTGATAGTTCATATTTTGAACTTGAGAGCAGGTTCTATGATTATGTCCAAGTTGTCTACATTAATAGCAAACAAAATTATTTGGCTTTTAAGGTCGAGGTCCAGGTTGGTAAGGTTGTGGTTGATTAGCCTGAAGTTGTTGATAGTTATTATTATTTCTAGGATTATAGCGAAGTCCAGTATTCATTTGTTGTAACTGTTGGGTTAAAACCTGTAGACTTTGGGTGAGTTAATCTATTTGGTTATTTTGTTGAGTAGGTACCATATATTTATTGAGATAAGAGGTTACAGTATTAGTGTCCTGGTATGTTAGTTTATAATTTTTGGCATAGTTGACAGCATTATTTTAGATAACATCATTATGAGGTTTGACATTAACATATAATTTAGGTAAGAGTCTATTTACAAATTTATGGGCTTTGAAGTGAGCAGGTATTAGAAAGGTCTATGCTCTACCCTCCTATATAATTCCAAGAGAGTAGCAGCATAGTTATCAACAGATTCACCAAGGCATTGTTAGCTACATTCAAGTTCAGTAGTCTAGATTTTAACTAGGGTTTAAGAATGAAAGGCAGTAGAGAAGTTAATGATAAAGTTAGTGTTATGAGCAGAGTTACCATCATCCTATTGTTGGATTCTATTAGAGCTAGTGTTAACCAATATTTGGTTTTCAGTCTACCAAGTAGTAGCAGCTCCTTTCAGGTATGCAAGTGCAACTTGAAGCTTGTTGTCATCAGTAATTTTATTGGCATTGCAGGCTTTGTTAAATTCAGTGAGCCAAGTTATAGGGTTCTGATTTCTACCATAAAAGTAGGGTAAATCAATCACTTGAGCCTCTCTTCTGAGATGATTATTAATAGTATTAGTATTGTTATCAAGGCAGTAATAGTATTAGGCAGAGCAGCAATCAATTGGGTGAGAGCATCAGTAAGTTCCTAAAAGTTTTGTTGGTTAGGTTGAGTCATGTTTACTTGTTGCTATTGATTCAGAGGTAATTGTTGTAGTTCTAGTTGATTAAAGAGTAATTCTAGACCAAAATTTTCTTCCTCGTCAGATGAATTTGATTGTGCAGTTTGATATTCAGCTGTTTGAGAATCAGCAGTTTCACTTATGTTATAAGCTACATCAAAAGGGTTGTCATTAAAACTGTTTGTTAAGTTAAGAACAGTATATATTTCCTGTTGAGCTTGATCATAAAGCTTAGGTTTCTTGAAGTAACGGATACTTAGAAGGAGATGTGCAATAAGAGTCCAGGTATTTGAAGAGTTTAGTTATTAGTAAGAGCTTGGAAGTAGTCCTGAGTATATGATGTATAGTGTAGAGCAGGATATTTAATAGAAAACTAGGTTCAAAAGTTTTCAAATCAAATATAATCACTAAGATTTGTTGTAGCTTTAGAAGGATAACAGAGGTAACAAGAGATATTCGTATGTATTTCAGATATAATATTTAAGTTCTAGATATGTAGGCGATCATGTTTTCAAGTTGCAAGAATATGAGCTGAGAAAATGTTCATTCAATTATCTAATATTTTAACAATTTGATTCTTCTAAAAGGCACCAATTGTTACGAGTAGTTCTTCATTAATCTGCAAATTTTTAGATAGCAGAAGGTTTTTCACAGTTATTATTCAAAGCACCAGTTTATTTATCAGTAAACAAACAAAACCAAAATTAATAAAATTAAAAATAAAAGAAAAGAAAACATTATTTCCAATAATAAAAACTAAAGAAACCAAAAATAATAAAGAAAAATTATAAAGAAATAAAGTGCAAATGTTTGCCTAAGAGAAGACTAAAGATATTAAAATATTGTTTATTATTAAGAACTAGAGGACAGTTGTTATTTAGAGAGTTTATTATTATTTATCTTGCTTTAGAAACTATTATGATTTTAATTCTACATCATGTCAAGTTAAAGGAGAAAAAGGCTTGTATTTATAACCTTTGATTGCTAAGGATTAGTAATCTGTGTTTTTGTTCGTTGTGTTTGAGTGGACCAATAGTTATTTTTAGTTACAGTGTTCATGGTATTAAAGGTGGTGTTTGTAGTGCTCTTCGCATAATATTAAGGTGACGTGTATTACTAATTATTGATTAATAATATCTAGAAATTTCTAAAAAGTTCTAGAACATTCTGTAAGATTCCAGAAGTTGCTACATGATTCCAAGATATTCCAGGACATTCTAAAACATTCTATAATATTCTAAACTATTCTACAATTTTCTGTGTAATATAACCAAAAACTATGACTAATCATTATACAAAATAATTACTAATAAAACTATACTAAAATACTATACTAAACAAATAATAAAACTTATCTATACTGCTATCAGCACTCTGTATAGGTAACAAATACAAAAACTAAACAAAATAAATAAAAACTATAACAATTATACTATAAAAATACTAAATTAAATAATAAAACTAAAAATAAAATAAAAGAAAAATAAAGAAATAGAAAATTATAGGTGTGACAATATGATATTTTGAAAAATCATAATTTGCCTATTACTAGTAATAGGCAATTTGTAGATTTTTAAAATATTTCATGTATAATATATATTATGCATATATTATGCATATGATACACAGAATAGAAATGAGTAATTGCTAATTTCTTAAATTTTTTATGAATAAGGTATAGAATATGTAGATGTTAAAATATAAATATAAAAAATTATTGTTTTAAATAATTATTGTTATAATAAATATATATTTATTTAAAATTTTATTTTATTATAAATAAAACATATATACTTATATAGATTTTGCCTATAAAAATCTTAAATAAAAAAAAACTTAAAATATACTTATAATTTTATCATAAAATATACTAATTTTGCTTATTATAATTTAATTTTAAACATAAATTTGAAACTAAAATATTTAAAATTCAGATTTTGCCTTTGAATAGCTATTATTTTAAAATTTTGTATTTTTTTATATTTTTTGAATTTTATATTTTTTTTATATTTTTTGAATTTTATATTTTTTTTATATTTTTTAAATTTTATATTTTTTTTTAAATTTTTTAAATTTTAAATTTTTTTTATATTTTTATATTTTTTTTTTTTTTTTTTATTTTATATTTTATATTTTTTAAAAAATAATATTAATTTAAATAATATTTCTAATTAAAATTTAATATAATTAAGTTAATATATTTAATTTTTATAATTAATTTATTATTATAATTATTAATAATTTACTTACTTTAAAAATTACTTTTTACTTTCAAATTCTTAGTCTTCAATATTTTGATTTTCAAAATCTTCACTATATTGATATTTATTTTCAAAATCTTAATTTTCACTATATTGATATTCATTTTCAAAATTTTGATTATTACTATTTTGATCTTCATTAATATCTTCATTAATATAATCTATATTTGATTCTATTTCTAATTCATCTTCATCAGAAAACTCAGAATTATTTTCACTATTATATTTTTTCAAATTTTATTTGCTAAATTATCTTAATCAATTACTTATCTAGAACTATTATCTTTATCAATAATATTTAATTCATTAGTATAAAAAGAGTTTTTTAATTTGCAATTATTGTATATATAAACTAATTTATATATATTTGAAGATTTAAGTCTATTTATTTTTTAGAATAAATATAACTAAAATTAGACTAATTATGTTCTGATGCTACAGATGATATAGAAATTGTTAAAATTCTTTTAGCAAATTCAGTAAGTTCTGGTGCTAAATATGAAAAATTTGCAGACTACCAAGTAATTTGATCAACATTATTAACTATTTCCCAAGCCATAGAGTTATTAAATAGACCTGAATGATTTATATATTCTAATAATTGACTATAAATTTTAGTACAAGATTCAGAATAATATTTTTTAACAAAATCAGATACTGTAGTCATAATATTATTAGCTAAACTTTGACTTTGAAACCTTGCATTAATACGATATGCTATTTCAATTACAGGATTATATAAACTATTCTATCTTTTTATAATAAGATCAAGAATTTGTTCTGAAGCAGAACTATTAAGTAAATCTATAAATATATATATAAATTATTAATATTAATAATAAATCAATAATATTATAGTAAATAATTTTGTATATTTTTTTAACTAATAAAATTGTAATATTAATATGAATAACTTCATTTAATAAGTTAAACTATAATTTTATTAGTCAAAAAAAGTTAATATATATGAAATTACACAAAACTTATATACAAAATTATTATTTTAAAAAATAATAAATTAAATCAATTAATACTAAAATATTTATAAAATTTAAATATTATTTGTTAATAATAAATAAATTTAATTTATATAAAAATATTAAAATAAAATTTATCAAATTTAAATAAAATATAAAGTAAAGAAGAGTATTGTAGTAAATCTATTATAGTTTATAATATAATAATTTAAATTTAATAATTTTATACTATTTAATTTGTCTTGATAAAACAAATCAAATAGTATAAAAATTATTAAATTTGATACTCCTTTACCTTAATAAATTTGTACTTACTTTCATTTTTTTCAAGTTTTTCATACCATTTATAAAATTGTGATAAATATAAAATATTTTCTTCAAATATAGTAATTCCACTAACTAAAATTTTTAAAATAACTAATAAATTTTGAACTTCATTCCAAAATTCATTATTTTGAATTATATTTATAATTTCTAAATTAATAGAAGATGTTAGATGATTAATTAATTCTGTAGTTATTAAACTAATTGCTAATTGATTAGATTTAATTAAATCTAAATATTTTGTACTAAAATACTATCTAGTTTTAACAGGAAGTTTAAGAGATTTAAATTTTGATCCATAATTAATTTCTTGATATTTTTTTAAAATTGCTACAGGAATAGTATATCTTTTAAAAAATTTTACTATTAAAATTGCATTTAATAAAATATTTTGAACCCAATCTAATTTAATAATTTCTCCAACAAGTAAGTTAAGATTATAAGCTAAACATCCTAAAAATATAATTTTAGGATATTTATTATTCAAAATTTTCTATGCTTTTTTTATAACTATTGCATTATGAGTAATAATAGCTAAAATCTTTTTAGAATTATAAGTTACAATAATTTTTTCTAAATCAGCAGCAATATTTTCACTATTTTGCTGTATTTTACTTGTAGGTTTAGCAAATACAAATACAGGAACTAGTGTAGTAAGAATATAATTTGTCCAATATTCTGCAACTAAATTTGATCTAAATATATAAATATATATTAGTTTTTTTTTTTTTTAAAATTCAGCAGCCATGTCTCAACTTTATTCAAACAGTTTGCGAACAAACTTTTTTTATTTGAAGTAAACTCTTAATATGTCTGACTAGTAAGCTGAAACTCACCCAGTTACCCCAAAAGTACCTATGTGCAGTGTGCTATAGTTAGTCTTTTAAATCTACACCGTCCAATTCAGTAACCCAAATCTTTTTGTGTTTCAGATAGTCCCAACAACCCAAAAAAAAAAAAAAAAAATTGTTACTATCTAAAAGCTCGAAAGCTAACTAACAAAGAAAACCTTGCCCCAAGTTAAAAACTTTGTTAGGCAGTAACATAATAAAAAGGGCTAAAAAAAATGAACAAAATGAAAAAAAAAACAAATGTGCACTTTAATCTGGACCAGGTTCAAAAATATTAAGTCAGCAGACTTATAACCTATCTCAAATTATTCTTTCTAATGTTATAATCCATCTTTATTGCCTTATAATAGTACATTGATTGCTATTCGCATCTTTTCACATACCCGTGGGACTAGTTTCAACTTTACAAGCAAAACAAAACACGTATTTCCACGTGTTTATTTACTGTTTTGTTTATTTCTATAGTCATGCACCCAATGGAGTATGTCTAAAAATGGATATGATAAACAATACTGATCTTTTGTAGGGGGAAACCTAGATTCCCCACTTTTGTCGAAAAAAATGAAAGGCTAGCGAGAAAAAGCTTGCGGTATATAGTTGTTTTCCAAGACTTTAAGGAGTGTGTAGACAAAATATTCAGTTGTTCCCTTACTTCTTAAGCCTTCTTTTACTAACTTCGTCAACAAAGAACTTTGTCCTAAAAGTTCTTTACTAAAATATTTATATAAGGGTGCCACCTCCTGCTAGTTATCTTATATAATATCATTTCTAGCTTGCATGCTGAATATACAAAAGAGTCTCTAAGGAGAAGTAGAAACCTAGTTGACCTTTATAAAAACTATTGTTGTAAAAGAGTCTTCTTCATCGTCTCCAACAAAATTTTTGTTTTTTGCTTTTTCAAATTTTTTGGGAAAAAGGATCATTAGAAAGAGTTAGGTGCTAAACAACTAATTAGATTTTAGATAATCATTAGTTTTACTAGCTTAATTTAGTTTTACTAACAACTATAGACTAAACTAAATAAATTTATAAAATAAGTACAGATTACTTTAGTAAGTTTGCTTTAAGGTTAACTAGCTCAGCAGATATTTATATATGTTAATTTGTGATTTGCATAAGAACTAGTGAAACAACATAATAAATAGTGGAAGAAGTTACTATTATTTTTGATATATGCTTGAAATCTGACATTTTCTAAAGGAAAACTTTTTTTTTACTAAGTAAACTGTTCTTTGACTTCTAAATAAAGTTGTATAGAAGAGTTTTGCAATTATAATTATAGTTGAAATATTTAAATCAGTCTAGTAGATTATGATATATTAGTATTTTTGTCTTTGTGACTATATGTTTTCTTTTAAAGAAGAAAATATATAGTCATGAAGACAAAAATACTAATATCTCACAATCTACTAGGCTGACTTAAACATTTTAACTATAATTATAATTGCAAAACTCTCCTATACAACTTTATTTAGAAGTCAAAGAACAGTTTATTTAGTAAAAAAAAAAGTTTTTCTTTGAGAAATACCAGATTCCAAAAATAATAAAAAATATATAGTAAACATATCTCCACTATTTATTATATTATTTTACTAGTTCTTATGCAGATCACGAATTAAGTATAATATAATTCAAAAAGATTTAAGCTAAAGTCAATAAATAGATTTGAAATAAGCTAGCTAGCTTAAGTAGTTAGATATTATAGTAATATTAGTTTATAATAGTATAAGTTAGTTGAATAGAGTGTTTAAATAGATAACTTATAGGTAGGTTATAGATATAGCAGTAGAGTGTAATACTAACAGATAGTTTAATACCTATGCAGTAAACTACTTAAATTAGATAATAACTAAAGTTATACATATAGCTTGTTGTATACTCTTTATATAATTACAAACTATAAAAGATTAACTATATATAACTCTATATATCAAACTAATAAAATTTACTTAGCAATATAAGCTATCTTAATAATAAAACAAAAAAAAAAATTATTTAAAGTTTTTGAAAAGAAATCCTAAGAAATATATTAGACTCTGTAAAAAATAGTATTGTATTAAATCAATTAGATATTAGAAGTATGACAGTAATATTATATAAATAAATCTATATTAGATATATAAGCAGAAAATCTATATAGTAAAAACTCTAAGTTAGTAAAGTAGTATAGCTTTTAATAGTTAATTTAGTTAATACTTAATTTGAATTAAGACTATAGTTTAAATATTATATATTAAGATAGATGCAAATAAGTCTATCTTACAGAAAGGAGACTATAGATCAAATTATAACTTATAAACAGTAAATAAATATTAGTAATTTAATAATACTAACTTGGCTTAGTAGCTAACTGAATTTAGAAAGATCTAACTTATGAAATATCTAAAGAAATTAGAAAATAGATACCAATGAAGAGCTACAGAAAAAACTGAGATTGTATAAATATTAACAAGAATAACTATGAGTTTTCTAATTAAGTAAATACTATAATATAGAGAATAGACTAAAATTCAGAATATACTTGTAAAAACTTAAAATAGTATAATATATTAAGCTAGTAGTAGTAACATAAAATATAAGAGAATATCAGAAATAGACTAGAAGTAATTTATGTTATAAAATATATTTTAGACTATACCAATATACAGAAGTACTTATAAAAACAGAAATTAGTATATATATAACTTGTATCTGATACTATATTTAGATAAATCTATATTAGAAAGATATTGTTTGAAGTAATAACTTAAACTCTATCAAATTAAGAGTAGCTATAAAATTACAAATATCTTATCTAGTTACTAATTTGAAAATTATTTATAAAAAGTATAAGAAATATAGTAAATATAATATAGTAGTCTTATGAAAAAAAAGTACTTATAGGAATCTAAATAATATATTATTATAAGCTATAAATTATTCTAGTAGATTTTATATAAGAATAGATAGCATATGCATATATATACTATATATTCTAAGCTTAATTAGAATATATAAATTAGTTTGAAATTATAATATAATAATTATAATAGATAATATAATTTTTAATAAACAAATTAAACTAAGTACTCACTTTAATATCTAAAAAAAAAAAAAAAATTTATTCAAAGATCTAAAAATCTTAGTGTAGTAATTAAGTTATCAAACTACTAAGTAATAGGTCTAGAGTTCAAATCTTATTATTAATAAATTTGAATAATTTCTCAAATCTTATAATATATTATAATAAATTTTAATTATTTTTAAGAATATACTTCTGTAAATTGAATTATACTAAATTAATCTAAACTTAGAAGTATAATATAATATTATATAAATAAATTTTAATAGAATATATGAGTAAGAGATTTGTATAATAAAAACTTTAAGTTAGTAAAATAGTATAATTTTCTTATAGAACTATATTAGTTAAATTCTAATTTGAAAAGAAATCTTAGTTTATAAAGATAAAAGTTTTAAGATTATTAGATAAAAGATAATTAAAACTAGCTAAATACTAAAAAAAAACTAGATCAACTAATTAGTGAAAAACTATAATAGAATCTAGAGTTATACAAATATTACAAGAGTTTAAACTAAATAAATCTATAAAATAGATATAAGACTACTCTAATAGAAATAGCTTTTGATATTAATTAAAGCTTTGTATACTTAAAATAAATTAGATAATATATATTCTAAAAGAATTTAAGTTATATTAGAGAAAAATTTATAAGCAAATTAGCTAGTTTAAGTCATTAAATATAGTAGTAAAATTAATTTAATATAAAAGTTAATAATTAGAATATTTTTTTTTTACATGATAAATATACTATCAGTGAGATTTTTTTATTGGTATAGATAGTTTTGAGCAATGATTTTATATGTGAGTTTCAAATTCGAGGACGAATAATCCATCAAAATGTTACGATCCAACATGTTCAATATAGAAGTATGTCTCAGATCGAGTGTGTATATTATACGAAATAGTTTATGTATTTATTACGAGTTTAATTTTAGTTACGTCATGAAGTTTACTTACATAGGATTCGTAGTAAGCTTTATAACGGGTTAAAATAATATTTAAAAAGATAGGATTTTTCCAGACATTTTATAGTAATTTCCATTTATCTATTAGTCTGGTTTTTTTTTTTTTTTTGACTCTTACCTAACCCAGATTCATATGTATCCAGGAGATGGCTTTTGAACATTTAGTAATTTCATGGGGCTGGTGCATGTTCTTTCCGAATATCGATATCGATATATATATAAAATATTCTTACTATATCGATATACTTACATATATGTGTTTTGTCGGAAATATCACTCAAATAATGTTTGCAGTAATATTACGCTAACCTAGTGAAACTGCCAAGATTTGCTCTCTTGGTGACATATAAATCTCCTTTCCCAACCCCATTGGATGTGGCTTGTCAGGAAACATTCTTAGGGTTTTCTCCAGCACCTGAATTAGTGGATCGGAGATCAGTTTTTAATTAGTGGAAAATAATTTAGCCGAGATCTGAGGTAAAATTTTGTCGGAATTCGAATAAACTAATCAGGAGACAAATCATGTTTTTTTCAGTTACTCTGATTGGCTAAAATTTAAAATCTGCAATGATTGAGAAACATTTCGATCCCTTTCAAATCACATTGAAAGCTGCTTGAGAATGCCCTTAATAACCATGAATCTTCAGCAAAATTACTATAAGTGATCATTGCTTGTTAGTCATTTATAGTAGTCACGAGGTAGTGCATAAGTGTAGCAATCATAATAATTTATCTCAAATGAAAGCCAAAAAAATAATTGCCACTGCGTCTCCTGAATATGCCACCAAAGGTCAAAATTTTAAGAAATCAAATATTGGCTATAAAATTGAAAGTAATGAAGTAATGGAGAGCATGCATTTTGGACAAAAATATTTGACTGCAATTACGTTGTCAGCCAATAATTAGAAGTAATACAAACTCGATGTGGCATTCTTTGACATTAATTTGCAACAATTTTCTTTACGATTTTCGATCAGTTTAGAATTCATCGCCCTTCCGAGGCGGATAAGTTTAACATTAGGAGGTTTCAAAATTAATAAATAAGTAGCGCAATTTAAAATCAAATAAGATTTTTTAAATAGTATTATTACTATGTTGACTTATAATTCGGAAAAATAAATTAAGATTTTTTGATTTTAATTTTGAAATCCCATTAAGTTTAATAATCTTGTAATTTAATTCGATCATTATTTTTTAACCATCATCACAATTGTGCTAATTGATCTATTTAGCCTTTTTGGCGCACCCACCTGGTATACTGCTTTATCGATATAAATAATTTTTGCTTTGTTAAAATTAACACTTTATAATATCTCACTTTAAAATTCTTATCAGTTACGGCCATACACAGTGAAAAGCTCCGGAACCCGTCCGATCTCCGAAGATAAGCCACTGATGGCCCAGTCAGTACTATGGTTGGGGACAACATGGGAATACTGGGTGCTGTAACTTTTTTTTTCGGTTTTCCTATAATAGTTCGTACAGAAAAAACCAGAGCATTAATAAACTTATCAAAGATCATTCAATATTTTATTGATAAAACCATACTCTCATTATTCACACACTAATCTTGCTATAGACTTAGGCTTGCCTAATACTAGCTCAATTGAACGAAATTCCAACTATAGAAAATATTTTTCGAGAACACTCTGAAATGTGATAATGAAATGAGGCTAAGAAATAGATCCTTATATGTATTGTGCATAATATTTAGCAATTTAGACTATCACGATTATATTTAGCTTAATTTAAATTAATTAAAATTTTTAAATTTTTTGATTTTAATTAATATATTATCAACACTTTCTATCGTTAAGTAATTATTGTATTACTAGTATAATTAATTGTTATGCAATTATAGATATAAAATAAATTAGTCAATTTAATTATCGTACCAGGGTTGAAATAGATTTAACGGTATTGATGTATAATAAAAACCGGGTCAGAATTTATCGGTATTAAGCAATAATGCTGGTCAATCATATTATCTGAGCAATTTTGCTTAACGTTAATGAGTGTGCTATGAATTTATTTTTTGGCAAAATTTAGCAATGGGGTAGTGTTGGTGGTGCAAGGTACTTGGCGACGCCAATGGTGCACTATGGTGGTGCAGGGTGGCAAGCAATCATGTTTAAGTTTACATCAGATTAGAAAGATATGTGTGATTCGGGAATTAACGGGGCATTCAGTTAACTTCTGAAGGATAGGATCAGTGACTCATCACATTAAGATAACTGTAAAAAAAAAAAATTGCCAATAAGCTATATCAGTTAATTATACTGATTCGAAAGTTTCCGATGTAGACTAGCACTCTAGCGTTACCAACCTAAAAAAATTTCGCTACTGGCATTAGGGTTTGGGTTTGTTTTGTTTTGATTTTATGTTACACCTGATCTTGAATTTTAATTCGACCAGATAGCGAAATTTTTTAGATTGGTAACGCTAGGGCTGTTATGTAGACAGTGAATGAACACAAAATACAAGTGTGGTTGTGTTGAAAGTTCCGAAATCGTCCGAAACATAAGTTAAGGTAAAATTTTATATCTCTGAAGGTAAAATAAACATATATATAAAGCTGCTAGCTAGCAATATAATATTAATGGTGCATCTGATAGCGCGCCATGTACCAGAGAATTTTGATAGCCACTAGTGGTGTATCACCAACTCTAAATAGGGTTTCAAGATTAGTGATTCAGTGTCTGATTGCGGATTAAATAAGTGACAGATTTATTTCAAAATAAGCAACTTTAAAAGAACAATTCAAAGAACTTAATAGTCTTGATACATTTTTTTTTTTTAAACTTAGGCGATCTTACCTTTCATTTTATTAGTCGAATATTTTAAAGACATTTAGACAAATACAAAAAAAAGAAAAAAAAATTCTAATTTAAAGTATGTTCACCTTGTTGCAATTCTGGATTTACTCAGCTGCTCAGATAGTGCCTAAGTGCAATCTGCAGCAGCAGCATAATTTTTCTCCTGAAACTAGGTGCATAACAAATATGCCTGCCTAGTCTTGATCAAAAGAAAGCTACTACTAGCCTATATCAAGACTGCCTTAGCTAGACTATCCTATCTTTAATTCTAAATACTACTCTAAAAAAAAGATAGAATATAATCTAACTAACGTGAAAAGAAAATAAAAATTGTATAAGATCTGAGTGGCAACAATCTATACTAAATATCTAGACTATAAAAAAAACCTGCTATAGGTTAAAACAAACTAGACTAGATGCATAAAACAAAATAAAGAGAAAAAAGAAAAAAGAAAAAATGAGAAAATGAGATAGTATACTACACTGCTCCTAATATAGTTTAGATAAAAATTGTATATAGCTACTCTCCTATGTTTTTCGCTATAACTTAAAAGGTCTAATCTGCACCTAGAGAAGTTTACTTCAGAACGTGATCCCAATGGCTGTCCATACAGAATTCTTTCAACACGTGCTTCAGCTAACACGTGTTTGTTTACGTATATCTGAATGTAAGTAGGCAATTCCCAATATAGTTTGTCGATCAGTAGATCTTTTGAAGGGGAGTAGCTAATTTCTCCAATTTGCCCCAAAAAACAATGAAGCTAGTAAAAGAGAGAGTCCAAAAGATATATTCAGTAGAACCTTGCTTGTAGAGTATATTGTAATGACTATAAGACTATGTTATTTTGGAGGAATAGAATAATAGGGCAAGTATATGTTTGTTTTCTATAACCAAACAAAAATACTTGACAAAAGCTTCTGGCAGTGCCACTTCTATTCAAAAGTTTCTAGACATATAATACAGGCCGCAACCCCAAGACAATATTTTTTAAAAACTATGAGCTGAATATTTTAATTCTACTGTATTACTAGAAGAAGTTGTATATCCTTTTGTTATATTTTCCAAATTTTTTCACAGGTCAATATTGCTCTACATAGATTCAAGTGATCGTTAGGAAGAGTTGTCTGAGTCCTAATACATTTTTGTTTTAATAAAAATTTTTTTAAATAATAATAAATTAAAAATTACTAAATTTATACTAAGTGTTTATATATGTGTATTATTTTTAATTTATGTTAATAAAGGTTTGGTAATCTTAGTATAATAGTTAGGTTATTAGAATACTATACAAGAAGTCTAGGATTTAAATCTTATTATTGACAAAATTTGAATATTATTTAAATTGAGTTACAGTAGATCCTGTTTGTTTTTGGAGGTTATAATCCTGTAAATCAAGTTGTACCAAGTTAATCAAATATTAGAAGTAGGATATAATATTATACAAATAAATCTTAATAGTATTTATAAGAAGAGGATTTGCATAGTAAAAATCTCAAGTAATAAAATAGTATAATCTTCAATAGTTATACTAGTAAAACTCAAAATTTGAAAAAGAAAACTCAGATACAAAGGTATAAGTAAATCTAATTTGTCAATTAGCAATATCAACTTGGCTTGGTAGCTAACTGAATTAGAAAGATCTGATTATCTAGAGAATACAAAATACTAATAAAAGTATAAAAAGATTTTTTCAGAATAGTATGAATATTATAAGAATATATATAAGCTAAATTGGAATATAGCATAGTATAGTTAGATTTTATAGCATCTATTTGTTAATAAGTTAGTGAAAAAGTACCTTAAGATAAAGTCTAGACTTTTAATAATAAAGTTTGTAGACTAATATCAGTTTAGATATCTTTTATAAGAAGTAGTATGAGATAAGACTAATATAAATTAGGTTATATAGAAAAGTAATATAGTACTAAAGAGTTTAAATAAAAAAATTTTAAATAGATTTTAGATATAATAACTAGTATAGAATCTTTGAGCAGACTACTTAAAATAGATAATATAAAATTGTATAAAGTTTTTTTTAAAATTCAGCAATCATGCCGTGACTTTATTTAGATTTGTTTTTTATAAAAAAAACACCATTATTTAGCAATATACTATCTAATGTCTAATTTTTTAAGTCCCGACTCACCCAGTTATCCTATAGATACCTATGTGCGATCTGCTATAGTAACCTTTTTCCTATATAATATAGGAAGGATGCTACAACCC